TAGTAACAAGCCCTCAAGAACTGTGGTTCTCTAGCCCCCCAAGACACATCCATCCAGATGCATGAAATCCTCAAGCATCTATAAGGTTGGAGTCCTCTGAAGTCCCCTTGGGCCTAGCAAAACTGTAGAGGAACTAGGGAGAGGATCCAGCCTCAGGATTTCATTAACAACCTCCTGGCCTCACCCTTACCCCCATGACCTTTCTCTCCTGTAATCACACTGGAATCTGGAGAAGGAAAGGCCTTCTTGAGATGGAGCTCTTCCTGCCCTCCTATATCCCTCCCTGCAGAGAAGGCCTGGCTCATGATTCAGAGCCTCAGAGGAGGGAAAACTCTGGGCCAGGGACACTCTCTGATGGCTTGTGTGCATGTGGAGGTGGGCACTGAGGCTATGAACACCTGGGCTGGGAGGGCAGCCTTAGGCTAAGGAAGGCCCCTCAGGATTGCCTGAGACCCAGAGGAGGAAAGAGAGACAGAGCAGGAAAGGTTACAGCTGGGAGGACTAGGCCCACCTCCCACATTCTAGGCCTCTTCGTTTTCTTCCCAAAGACTCAGATTTTGAGCCCCTCCCCGCCACACACACATATTTCCTGGGTCCACTGCTCAGATGTCTCCAGCCCCCTGGCAGGGCAGCTAAGTGTCTGACAGATCAATCCTTTCCCAGCCCTGCCTCCAGTAGCTGTGGGTTTTGGGCAGGCCCCTTCATCTTTCTTAGCCTCAGTCTCCCCATCTGTGGGATGGGTGTGATCACAGGTTCTGAGGTCTAGGCAGTAATGCGGGTGAGGGGCCTGGCCTGGGCTCAGTGAGCAGGGGCCACCATTAGCCTGGCAACATCCCCCACCACCGTCAAGCTGGGCTGCAGGGAGGAAGAGAAGGAGGTGGCCCAGTGTCTGTCTTTGAGAGCTCGTGTCTTATGTGGGTGGGTATAGCCTAAGCAAGTGGCCCAGCTCAGAGATGGGATGGGGGGAGGACCCCAGAAGGTATGGGTATGAGACCCTAAGAGAGGGGACCTAAATCCCTGAGAACATGGTGATGATGAGACAGCATGAGTGAAGCTGAGAGAGAGAAATACTTAGTCCATGACAGTAGCACTGTGAGAAGGATGGCAGGTGAGGGCCATGGCTATGGCACCCGGGCTTGATGCTGATGTTAACAACGGCTGCTGTGGTGCCCGTCAGAGCCCTCCCTGCCCACCAGAGCCCACACCCTCTCCCATTAATTCTCATCACCAGCCTCCTAAGCAGATTCTATTATCTAAGTTGGGGAAACTAAGGCAAGGTCATCCCAATGGAAAGGGTCAGCTCTGGAGGCCAAAGTTTGAGGTCACAGGGCCTATACCTGACAAGCAGCATGTCCCCAGACGGCCTCCTCCCAGGAGCAGGCAGTAACCACCAGTTCACATCCAAGGTGCCAAGAGCTGGCAGTGGCCCCCTGCACACAGGCAGAGGAGACACTGACCGCAGAAGTGCTTGCTCCACTTGTGGGGCCAGCCTCACTCTGGAGCCAGCCTCTCCTTGGGGACACGAGTATGACAAAGAATCCAGAGTGAGACCCACCTGAAGACTGAGGGGACTCATCTTAAAATGGGCTTCATCCTTTCTCAGGAGTTAGCCTAACACAGCTAGTCAGCATGAAGTGCCTAATAAAGGTGGGGTCCAGTGGGGGAGCAGCAGCCAAGAGTCCCCCGCCGAAAATCCTCCACTTCAGGTAGGATGCAAGCACCTGGCAGCTCTGCATCCTGGCGATGGCAGCAGCATGCCACAAAACCTCATCCCCTCCCTCCTGCAAAAGCTGCGGCAGGTTGTTGGGAAGATGGGGGACCCAGATGTGTGATATTGCCTCTTTCCAACAGGGAGAGCCACAGGGAGGTAGAAACAGGGGCTTGGAGGCCCAGGCAGATACACGTCACCTACCATTAACTATAGCTAGACTGACGCAGGCCCCATTGCGGGCACCATTTCCCATTTGTCCACCACTCAGCAGAGGAGCACGTACTCTGGCTGTCAATAGTGTGCTAGGGGTCCAAACTCCTTAGGCCCTTTACTGCTCCCCACCCACCCCCAAAGAAAGGGAGGCACTGGCCAACATCACCAATGGAGCAGAGCTGGGCTGAGAGGGTGCAGCCAGGCAAGCAGCTCTGCCAGGGCCTCCAACCAGCACTCAGCCAGGATTCCAGGAGTAGGGGACAAGAAACCCAGGGACGCTGGAGAACAGGGTACAGAACCCAACAGAGAGGACAAAAGAAGCAGGCAGGGCAGGGTCGGCACACATTGATGAGCAGCATGGACAAGGAAGTACGACAAGAAAAGATGAGAGATCTGCAAAGTGGGGGCAGGGGAGGGGGAGGGAAAGACACAGGAGAAGAAAGCATTGAGGGCTGCCCTCAGCCAGCAGCGGGCCTGAAGCTGGGGTGGGCATAACTGAAAGAGGAGGAAGCAGGTGAAAGGGAGTGCACTCTGACTCCACCTTCCCCTGCCCTCAGACACACCAGTGTACGCATATGCGTGCACACATGTACAACAAACACATGGAGCCTCCTCCTTCTTTGAAACTCTGATCCAGGTCCAGGTGGGGTGAGAGAGGCACTCCCCTCCCTAAAACCAAAGCCTGTCCTCCCTCCAGCAGTAACTCCTCTGCCCTTCTCAATCCAGCAGCAGCCTCAGTCCGTTTCGCCTGGTGGGCAGAGAGCCATGCTGCCAGAGCGATTACAGAAATACCGGCCACCGGACCCCAAACCCTCACTTTCTTAAACCTAGCAGATTGCGAAGCTGCTTTGCACTGGCATGCGCTAATGAGGAAATGACCTTCCTATCAAGGGCCCTCCCCCCTAAGGGGTTGTCACCCAGTGCCATGAGGCTGAGGGTCCCACTCTGCATCTTAGAAATCCACCTGTATCAAAGAGTAATCCTGACCTGGCCACACTGACCCAGGAGAAGGTTCAGGAGTCTACCTACCCCTGAGCCGCTCCACCGAGCCCTCTGGCCCCAGTGGCAGCCTCAGCCATTCATGATAGTTCAACAAAAGCCCCAACTCCAAACAGCCAGGGAACCTCAAGATTCCCTCCCCTTCTCGCTCCAAGGATCAATGGGCATCCGCATCTGCGGGACCAGGGCAGCTGAAGGGCGCTAGCTGTCACAGAAAACCCTCCATGTCGTCGCACTATTAGTCACTTCCCCATGGACCCTCAGAGCTGTGCAGCCCCCACCCCACCCCCACTCCCTAATTATGATTTGCAAGACATGTCCCAAACCCTCGAATTAGCTCCAACTATATTGACAAAAACGTCCAGCTGGAAATGTGTTGCTGCCGTCACACCTGCCTCGCCATCTTCTGGCTGGGGACAGAGGGACAGGTGTCCACTCTTGTCAGGGTCTCACATTGGCCTTCTAGGAGAGACCCATGCAGACCCAGCAGCCATCTGACCCACAGCAGGTTGCAGGGAAAGGGAGTGAGGTTGTGAGAGGTGGAAGGAGACATCTACTTAAACCTTCACTCACAGGGCTATGAAGCAGCTAGGAAAAAAATAACTGTGGCTTGGCTTATGCTTGGCTTTGACAAAGAAAGAATAACAAAAAAATAATGCTTTTGCTCTTTTTAAACACTGTGGTTTAAATCCATTTTCATCACAGCAAATGAAAGATAATAACACACCCACCAGTCCTGAACTTCCATACGATTCTCTTTTCCCTGCTCACCCCCCACATACACCCATGAAAAATCCAGACAGTTGACAGAGGACACGTCCGTGCGGCACCTGTAATTTGCCAACTGATCAACCGCCTGAGCACAGCCAGCCAGACTGTATAAGGACAGAGATGACAAGACAGAGAGAGACCCAGAGCAGTATCTTTCCCTAGTTTGTCTTTCCCACATCTGGGAGAACCCACAGCTGGAGTCCACAGGTTTTGTGGCAGAATCAGGGGCCCCTACCCTTGGGCACAACTGGTCGAATGACGCAGAGCCAGCCTCTCCTCTTCCCTGGGGCCAGACCCTTCTCCTTGGCCACCAGTAGCCCAACTACTCATGCCCCAAAGGACTCCAGGGACAGGTGGCTCTTCAAACCCAGTGACAGATAACAGAAGCGAGGTGGGCACTGTGCTCCAAGGGGGTGTCTGGGCACTGACATATGTCTGGGGCATAGTATCAAGAAACAGATGCTGTCCTAAAGGCCACACACACTAAACGTCCACTCCTAGCCCCAGGCACATCTGGCCAAGCTCAAACGGAGGAGGCCACCCGAGTTTGTAGGCTCTTGGGGAGGGCAAAAAGGCTCAGAAGCACCATGAGAATGAGTTGAAGCTGTCAGAGCCAGGAGATGCTATTATCCTGTTGACAGCCGCATCAGGAGCCAGCAGGGGTCCTCCCCACCGTTCACCTTCTGTCCTGACCCCAACACCTTCCTCTCCCAACTGAGATCTCCAGGGGACCCTCCCCTCAGGTGGAGGGAGGTCAAGAACAGGGGACACTGATCGCCTCCGTGGCACTGGCCACAGCAAGAAGGTGCTCACATCCTCTGTAACCCTCCCCCCGCCCGCCGAAAGAAAAGGCCCATGAAGAAGGTGTGGAGGTGCTCACAGCCCGGCTCTAAAGCGCCAGGTTCCCACGGGGGAGGGAATGTGGGGCAGATGTGCAGCTCCAACTCCGCCGGGTAGTGGTCGCTGGCCGCCCCCTCACCCAACCCTGGATTCCCCTTCCCCTCTCACTAGGGCAGCGGCAGGAGAATCAGCCAACAAGCTCGGGGCTTGAAGATCTTGCCCTGCCCCGTTTGGGGGCATTGGGGGAAGCAGGGGCAGCGTGGAGAAGTTTCGCGATGCAGCCACAAGCGCCAGGACCGCGGCTGTCAGCCCTCGGGGCTTGGGGCCCCCACCGCTTGGCGCAGCAGACAGCCGAACCCAGAGCCCCAGCCTCGGCGCGGGGCGCGGGGAGGGACCGGCGCGGACCATGGGGCGGAGTGGGGCGCAGGGCTCGGCCGGGGTCCCGCGGCCGGTTGAGGCCACTTACGTGTGCTGCTGGGGGAAGCTGTAGGCGGAGGCGCCGGGGGCGGCGAGGAGCGGTAGAAGCAGCAGCGGCGGCAGCAGCAGCAAGAGCCCGGACGCCGGGCGTCCGGCGCCGGGGCCGAGCCGGGGACCGCT